GGTGGAGAGATAATTGCAAGATAATTCCAGGTAATTGAGTGTCAAAAGACAGTACAGTTGGGTCCCCATCTTTTTGACTAACCTTTTTCTTTATCTCACACAAGGGAGTTCCACGTAATTAGTTTCAATACCTACATTTTCAGTAGACAATAAGAATTTATTCTACCTTTTGGACTACTGGACAGGTGCCTCAATATAAAATGTGCCATTGGAATTCTATGATAACAGCAACCAATCTTTACAAAATATTGGCCACAAAGATATAATAATCAAAGACCAGTACATTAACATTCAGCCAGGGATATTCACAAGTTAAGCTTTAAAAAAAAAAAGGGGAGAAGACCATACTGCCTATCAAGCCTGCTCAGCCAAGCAATATGGTAACAGCTCAACTTAGGTTAAACTCCACTTTTGTAGCCGCCTCCTTACTCCTACATTCCTGAGAAAAAGCTGTCTCTCAACCTTAAACAGATTTATCTGATAGTCTGTCCACAACCCTCTGGCATGGAGAATTCGAAAGATTCCATCCTTTGAGTGAAGAAATTTCTCAACTCTGTCCTAAATGATTGGACCTTTCGCTGAAATTCTGACCTTTTGTTTTAGGCCAGGTAGAAGGTGGTCTCAATATCTGTCAAGCCCTTCGTAATCTTGAATGTTTCAAGAAGATAACACTCATTCTTCTAAACTCCAGAATATAAACCCAATTTACTCAGTCTCATCAGAGAACACCCTCTTCCCAGCTATCAATCTAGTGAACATATGCTGTAGCAATTCCAAAGTAAGCAAACCCTTAAATACAAAGGCTAGAATTGCATGCAGCATTCTGGTTGAGGTCTCACCAAAGCTCCATTCTTGTATTCCAAGACAATAGAGATCAATATACTATTTGACAAATTTATTAGAGAGAGTTTGTTGAGAATGTAACCACTTGGAGACAATAGATATGGGAGATATTTTTAATCAACCTGTTCAGACAAGTTATGATATCTTTGGAGCAGTTAGATATAAACCGAAGCTTTCTGGCCCTTGGGGAGGGACACTAGCACTATGCCACAAGACTCCCACACAGAGTCATAGAGTCAGAATAATACAGCATAGATACAGGCCCTTCAGCCATGGTGTCCACTCAGCTAGTTCCAATTGCCTGCATTTGGTCCATATGCCTCCAAACACTTCTCACCTATGTACCTATCCAAATGTTTTTTTAAAATGTTGCTACTGTACCTGCCATAACCACTTTCTCTGGCAGCCCATTCCATATATACACCACTCTCTGTACGAGGAAGTTGCCCCTCAGGTCTTTATAAATCTTTTCATTCTCACCTTAAACCTATGCCCTCTAGTTTTCAATTCCCCATCCCTGGGAAAAAGACTACATGCATTCATCCTATCTATGCCCCTCATGACTTTATACACCTCAATAAGGTCAGCCCTCATTCTCCTACATTCCAAGGAATAAAGTCCTATCCTCTCCCTATAACTCAGGCCTATTAGTCCTGGCAACATCCTTGTTAATCATTTTTGCACGCTGTCCAATTTAACTGTCTTTCCTATAACAGTGTGACCAAACCTGTACACAATACACCGTGTGGCCTCACCAACTATTTATACAATTGTAACATAACGTCCCATACTCAATGCCTCGACTGATGAAAGCCAGTGTGCTAAATGCCTTCTTCACCACCCTGTTCTTCTATGATGCTGTTTTCAACAACTATGTACTTGTACTCCTAGGCCTGCTCCACACCAGTGTTCAAGACCTGACCATTTACTGTCCTACCTTGGTTTGACTTTCTAAAGTGCAACACCTCACACTTATCTGTATTGAATTGTAGTAGGTAGGTATGGCACATTCAGAATAAAAGGCCAATATACCATTTGCTTTCCTAATTGTCTGCTGTACCTGCATGCTAATTTTGCATTCATTGTACAAGCATGCCCCTTTGTCTCAACACATTAGCACATTCCAAGCTCCAAACCATTGACAGGATGGAAGGTCTTCTCTGTTCTTACAAGCAAAATGAATAGCTGCACTTTCTTGCATCATACTCCATCTACTGGAGTATGTTGCCCATTCATGTAACCTCTTTACATCTCTGTGGCTCATGTCCTCCCCACAACTTGCCTTCCCAGCTTGCTTTGTAACATTAGCAAACCTAGATAACTCCTAATATAAATTGTGTGTCAGTTGGGTCCCACACTGTGGTGCTCCACCAGTTACAGCATGTCAACTTGAGAATGACGCACTTAACTCCATTTTCTGCTTCACGTCTGTTAACCAATGCACCATATATTTTGATATCAACATTCTCTCAGCCACTCCAAGTGTTTGCACACAGCAATCAGCATGCGACTGTTCACACCAATGACTTCTGGTTCTGGATACCTCTGCCGTGCATGGACCACTGAAGTCAGTGCAGAAGAAAAGGCAATTACTAGGAACACTAGTTAATACCTCTAATTCCAAGACTTGTGTATTAAGTTTCAGCATGGCCTATCAAATACCCTTTCAAAGTCCAAATACATATATCATACTAACTGACTCCCCTTTATCAGAGAGTGGTTACATTCTCAAAAAACTCAAATTCATCACATGGCATTTCCAATTTGTAAAACCATGTTGGTTTTTTTTTTGTTTTATGTTTAATACTTTAAGTGCTTTAAGACCTTCATAACAGAGTCCTGCCTTTTTCCAGCGACTTATAACAGACTAACTAGCCTGCAGTTCCCTTCCTTTTATCCCCATCTCTCAACAGCTATGTTACATTTGTCAATTTCCAATCTGCTGAGAATAAAGGGATTGAGGTGTAGTGGTAATGTCCATACCTCTGAACCAGGAGGCTGCAGCTGAAGTCTCACCTGCCCAGTTGGCGCCTTAACAAATCTGAACAGGTTGATTAAAATATCTCTGCTCAGAATAGGGGGGTCTTCTGGTGCAGTGGTACTGTCCCACTCTGCTCCAGAGGGGTGTCATAAAGCACCTGAACAGATGGATTAAAAATCTCTACTGGGATTATTCAAAAATCTACCAAAACATGAAAAATCAGACTGCACTATACATGCAGTTGTCTCTTTTTTGAACTCTTGGATGTAGGTCCTGCGAATTTATCAAATTTTATTCTTTTGAGTTTCTCAGAATCCCTGTGTGGAAAAATACCATTCAGCCCAATGACTCCGCACTGATCTGCCAAACCAACATTTCCCACCCAGATCAGCAACTCCCACCCCCACCGCCCATGCAATCCCAATTCTATCCCCGTAACTCTCATTTACCATGGCTAATCCACCTAACCTGCACAACACTGGACACTACAGGGCAATTTAGTATAGCTAATCCATCAAACCATCACATGTTTAGACTATGGGAGGAAACTGGAGCACCCAGCAGAAACCCAAATGAACAAGGAGAATGTCTTTATGGAGTTTGCACAGTCACCCAAGGTTGGAATCGAAGCTAGCTGCCTGGCACTGTGAGGCAGCAGTGCTAGCCACTGTGCCATCACGGCCCCTTTTTCCCCTCTGATAAAAATTAGTTTAAATTCCTAACTCTCATTAGTCCTTAGGTTAACCCTCTACTTCTAGTGTATAATTTGCATCTTCTACTGAGAAAATTGATACAAAATATTTGTTCACCGTCTCTGTCCGCTCCCATAATAATTTCTCTGGACTCTGCTTTTAAGCAGCCAATGCTTATTTGCACAAGTTTTTACATTTTACCTTTATATTCCTGATTATTTTACTTTAATTTTATTTTTCTCCATTTTGATCAACTTTTTGGTGGTTTCTAAAGCACTCCCAGTCCTTAGACTTACTATTATCTGCAACATTTTAAGCTTTCTTTCAGCTAATTAATCCTATCCTTAATTATTTTAGTAAACCAGAGATGGATCATGCTTGCTTTCAACATATCACTACCTGGATGATCAACTCAATTCTATTTGCTTCCACTGCAGAATCTGGGCTAAAAAATTAGTTCACACAATTACTCAAAACTCTAACGAGATAGCTGTCTGCATCCATTGGTGGCAGGACTCCAATGCAACAATGTAGTTTGAACATTGATAAGTCTGAACAATTTCAACTCAGCTTCTAATGGGCATATACCCAGATACAAATGCCATCTTTAAACCAGATCTAAATTGGCAACATGACTCAAGTTGGCACACTTAAAATCAGTGTGGGAAGAAATTGTCACATTAGCCTGAATTTTGAACAGCAAAATATTTTAAGTTATAATAGGTTAAAAGCGCACTACTCTGAAATCAACTATGCTATATAGAAGCTGGGAGTGGTTGATCCAGATACTTGGCAGCAGAAATATAATATTCTACCATCCAGTACTAACTTTCATCATTGGAGCATGGAAGAAATTAAACACTTTTACATGCTTGCTCACAATTCCAGTTTTCTCTAGCTAAGTAGAATGGTAAAGGTTAAATGTGAAATCCAATTACATGAATTCAGGAGTTGTAGCTCTAAACAAAGCAAAAAAGGTATTGGTCATCTACAACAGTAGACCAGATGTTTATTTAATTTTTAAATTCAACAGTCAAGTTAGTTCAAAAATGAAAGCCTATGACCAAAGCCTAGGTATTTATCAGCTTAATAGTCACAGAAGTCATAGGATCCCTACAGCATGAAAATAGGCCATTCGGCCCATTGAGTCTACACTGACCAACAAATGTCAAGTCTTTGAAACATGTTCAATATTTGCCCCAAAAGTCATCCACTCCAAAAGGTAAAAAATAACTGGCATACATAACAGATATGAGGCCATAATTTAAACAGAAGGGAAATTGGCTTTCACTCAGTTACAGGTTGCAAACTGTTATAAATAGCCCTGAAATATAGCCCCAGTAGTGCCTCAAAAGGCTCTTACTGTTCTTGGCTGTCACGCCAGCAAACTACCTGTAACTTTTAAAAATCTCCAAGTGAACAACCCAAGCTATTCCAAGATACCTCAAAGATCTCAAAGCCAGCAATATCCAGAATGCCCACAAACGAAGCACCCTGCCTCTTGGTCCTATCCAGAGCTTTGTTGATGCGCATAACCAGCCAGCGGAACAGGCGCTCATAAGTAGCTTTGGCCAAAGCCTCAACAGCAAAGTCAGCCTAAAATGTAAAACAAAATTCAGGTAAGCTATTTAAGATAAAAAAGATTAAAGGGCAAATAAAAACAATGAACTAATTACTGAATATTTATTATCAAAACTGAATAATACATGCAAGAATAATTTTTAACAGAAAATTAAACATGAAGTCAGAGTATGAAATGTGCAATTGTTTCTAAAAATAGGAAGCATTGTGAAAGAATTATGCCCAATTATTTAGTTTGCAGTATCTATAGAAAGCATTGCAAAATTGCTAACAGCACAAGGTTCAATGAGGTATTAATATAAGTCATGTGGATCAATGTCAGTCTGGCAACTTCAGCCAGATTCGTCTTCCTTGTTACACTTGTCCCAATGAAGAGTTACATATTACAAAATTACTTAACCGTATACGTTAATGACTTGGATGAGGAAAATAAGACATGTTGAGTGGGCAAAAATTTGGCAGATGGAATACAATGTGGGGAAATGAGGGGTTATGGACTTTGGCAAGAATACAGGAGTGAATATTATTTAAGTGGAGAAAGACTGCAGAAAGCTACAGAACGGAGATTTGGGAGTCCTTGCTCATAAAATCACAAAGTTAGCATCCAGTGGGTAACAGGGAAGGCAAATCTTGGCCTTTATTTCAAAAGGAATAGAACATAAAAGTAGGAGATTTACCTTTTTCTTTTAAGAAAAAGGCACTAGTCAGACCACAGCTGGAATACTATGAACAGTTTTGGGCCCATTATCTAAGGAAAGATATATTGGCAGTAGAGGCAGTCCAGAGAAAGTTCACTTAGTTGATACTGGTTATGGTGGGACTGACTAATGATAAGAGATTGAATAGGTTGGGCCTGCACTGATTGAGATTAGAAAAATGAGAAGTGACCTTATTGAAACGGAAGAATCTTAGGGGACTTGACTGGGTAGAACTGCCAAAGTCATTTTCCTAGGGCACGGGAGTCCAAAATTAGACGGCAAAAGTTTAGGCAAGAAGGGAAAGATTTAAAAAAGGACCTGAATATCAAGTTTTTCATGCAGAGGGTGGTGCTTGAATGGAACGAGTTGTCAGCAGAAGTGGAGGAGGCTGGTACAATTACATCATTTAAAAGGCATCTGCATGGGTACATGAATATGAAGGGTTTAGAGGGACACAGGCCAAATGGGGCTAGATCAGACTGGGACGTCTGGCTGGCGCAGAAGAGTTGGACTGAAGGGGCTGTTTCCGTGCTTTTTAACTATGACTCTATGACACAATGAAAGACTAAGACCGGAGGGCACAATCTCAGAAGAAGCTGCACACTTATGACAAATGGAGGAAATTTCTTCTGAGGGTACTGGAACCCCCTACTCCAGAGGTCTGTTGAGGCTGGATTGATACATATATTCAAGATTGAGATAGACAGACTTTTAATCAGTAAAGAAATCAAGAGAGTGATGGGGAAAAAGACGAGAGAGAAGTGACAGATGTCAGATCAGCCATAATCTCATTTGAATTAATGGGCTGAATGGCCCATATCTGCTCTTATTCCACATTCCTCAGTCCTGAGGAATTCACTGGGAATATGCCACAGGAGAACTGCTTGCAATAATGGCCATTATCAAAAGTATTGCGTAATATTGACCATGCTGAATGTATGTAGACCTGTACAGAACTTCAGTGAATCCAACAATTACCTCTTCAGTCAACAGCTCATGATATTACATACATATCCTCTGATTAAGTGCTGTGAAACAGACTTACTGGCCACAAAGTGACTACAAGAAATTATAGGTAGCAATTAGGCAACAGAAATGGGGATCTTTTCCTTGATCCATTCTGAACAGAAACAGTAGAGACCTGCCTCCAGGGTTCTATCAGTATTACTCTACTTGCATTACAGGACTCACAATAGACTATGAGAGATATTAAGAATGAACCTGCAAAATAAGGATCCAGTTAATGAAGCTCTCAAGTATGTGTGGAATCTTTGACCTAGATGCAGCATTGTAAGAAAAAATGTAAAATTTCTTCAAAATGTATTTAAGGATGTTTGTAAAGGGCATTTTAAGAGCATTGATTAAAAGGGATCAATTGCCATTTTCTTGGAAAATAAATATATACATGTCAAGATAACCTGGCAAACCTGGACCTGGAAGCAATAACAACAGAAAGAAGTTAAAACAGAAGTAATGCGGCAGGACTGATAAATGAAGACAGACTTGATTAGGATTACCTTCACTTGAGTTTAGAAGAACGAGGGATGATCACAGAAACCTATAAAATATTTTTTAACAGGACAAGTCAGAATAAATGTGGGAAGGATGCTCCTGATAATGGGAAGTTCAGACCCAAGAACCACAGTCGAAGGATATGGGATAGATGGTTTAGAACTGAGACGAGGAGAAATGTCTTCATCCAGAGAATGGTGAGCCGGTGGTATTTGCTGCCACCAGCAAACAGGTGAGGCCAAAATATTGAATGCTTCAAAAGGTTAGAGATAGCTCTTTGGGCTGATAGGATCAAAGGGTATGGAGCAAAAAGTGGGAAGAGAGTACTGAGTTGGACGATTAGCCATGATCATATTGAATGGTGGAGCAGGCTTAAAGGACCAAATGGCTTACTCCTGTTTTCTGTTGCTATATATTATGAAAGGTCTTACCTTATAAAAGAAATCTAGTCATTAGCCATATTAGAGACACTTTAGAAAAATAGCTAGCTCCCAGTAGCCACTATCGTGAAACAGATAATGTCCTTCCATAATTTGTTAACTATTGTATGTAGTACAGAATTTAAACACTGCCAGAAGTCAAAGCTGTTCATTTTGCACTCATCGGGACTACAATGCAATAAAACTGTACTTGGAAAGGGAATATGAAATTTAAACTGTGAAAGAAAAGTAGGATCATTGATTGGACCATTGCTGGCATGACACTGCAGCAGGAACAGTTAACTGTCAAACTTAAGTCTCAGACCAGTCAGACAGACTGATTGGTCAGCATGTTGCACGTGATCAAGAGAAAGGGATCATGGAGACTAGCTGTGGGCAATGTGCCAATAATCCTCAAACAGCCATGCTCGCATTCACAGTCAACAGATTCTGCTATTGGACAGAATTTACTAAATAATTCAGACGGTGTTCAGAAATACAATTAAAAACCAATTTAACTCAGTCAGGCCTACAGTTTGATGCACTTGCGCATGCTCAAATCTATATAAATGTAGAGGATCTTGCATTAAATAGGTAGTTTTCTCATCGACAGTCTCCCTAACTCCTTTCCCAAAAATCTGCTGCATTCCTCATGGCAACATCCAGACCAATTGGAGTCTACCTGTCTGGACTGAGAAGTAAAGTTGATAGTTAACTGATCCTGCTACCATTTCCATGCCAATGATTCTTCAATCAATCGGGGGATTCTTATGCTGATTAAATTGGTGTTCCTTTCTCAAGTCTGGTTTCTTGCAACTTAGTCCGAATGGTGCAAGATGAAAAGCTTCAACTTAATATCTCCTTTTAGCAACATTTAAAAAGCTGTAAAAGTGGTAAACATGTTCAACACAACCCTCAAATATCTAAACCTCAGACAAGAGGTATACTAAATTAAAAAAACTTCGGACATTGGAAATCAGAAACAAAAACAGAAATTGCTGGAAAAGCTCAGCAGGTCTGGCAACATCTGTGGAGAAAAATCAGAGTTAAGAGTTAACATTTCAGGTCTGGGCACCCTTCTTCAGAATGGGTGGTAGCTAGAAAAAAAAGTTGTTTTTTTATGCAGAAGCGGGGAGTAAACAACAGGTGGGGAAAAGAGCCCAAAAAAAAAGAGAGAACAATTAAACAGACAAAAGGAGTGGATGGTCAGCCTAGGAGTGTGAATAGCTGATAATGGGTAGTGTGTAACAGCAGACCACATGATAAGGCCTGGTGTGTGGGGGTTGAGGTAAAGACATGGGAAAAGGCAAGTGGAAGCCCAGCATCTCTTTTGCAGACAGAATGTGCTGCTTCACCTGGAAGGTGTGCTTGGTCCTTGGATACTGAGGAGGGAAGTAGTAAATAAGCAGATGTTACACCTTGTACAGTTGCAGGGGAAGGTACCACGGGGGATGTTAGGAGTAAAGAAGTGAACTAGGCTATCGCGGAGGGAATGATTCCTGTATTTGAGAGGGGGGGGAGAGCAGGGGGAATTGATGGTGCCATCCTGCCAGAGGTAACAAGGGGGACCCAATCGCTGTTGTGGGAGGGAAGAGAGAGAGTGTTGGAGGGCTGAAGTGACGAAGATGGGTCAGACCCAGCTGAGGGTCTCCTACGGTGCTGGGGGATCCTTGGTTGAGGAAGAAGGTGGACATTTCAGGAGGCCCCCTTGTCAAAGTTGGCATCATCTGAACAGTCATGATAGGGACAGAGGAAAAAGGGCGTGAGGATGTATAGTCAAGATCACTGTTGGAGTCAGTTGGTTTATAATGGATACTGGTGGCCAGCCTATCCCTAGAATTGGAAACAGATATTGAGGAAGGGAAGGGACAAGTCAGAGATGGGCCAGGTGAAGTTGAGAGTAAGGTGGAAATTGGAAGGGAAATTGATAAATTTTATCCATTTCTGGCTGGGGGTGGGGGGGAAGCAGCACTGACAATATCATTGATGAACCAGAGAAAGGGTTGTGGGTGGGGGCTACAATGGGACTGGAACACGGAATGTTCCACATACCCCACAATGTATAACTGGGGCCCCATGCAGGTACCAGTGGCCACCCCTTCAACCGGAAAGAGAGGGGAGTTAAGAGAGAAGCTGCTCAGAGAGTGAGAACAAGCTCAGCCAAGTGGAGGGTGAAGGAGGATGGGGACAGTTCAGGCTTTTTCCACCCCTCCAGGATTTTTTTCTTTTTTTTTAAAAAAGTCTGCCAGATAACCATAGCACCACCCTTGTCAGCAAGCTTGATTACAAAGTCAAGGTTGTTTCAGAGAGCATGGGATTTGCCAGCAATAAAGCATATGCTAAAATTGGTCTAAACAAATGTAAGCGACTTTTAAATGCTGCTACTCCAATTGCTTTAAATCTTGAAGTTGGCAAAATTGTTTAAGAAACTTAGAAACTGTGAAACCATTTTCATTTGTTAACTTCAGTTAGCATTTAAAAATATTCCTGCAGAAACTAAGCCAATACTCACTTGTTCTTTGGTCTGAGCTTTCTGAACATAATCCCTTCCAACTTTAATGCGGGGAGTGAGAATCGCCCTGCTGAAGTCAGTAACATTGATTCCCAGCAGATGGCAGACTTTCTGGGCAGCTGTAGAGCAAAGACACGTCTTGAAGATTGAACAGCCTTTTACCATTGTAAATTTTAATCTCAATGAAAATCTAACACTATTGTCAACAAAATCAGTTGCACCTTCAATAAGTCCTTGTACAATACAGAAACATGTAGCGTTAACAGCATAGAAACTGACAATTCAGTCCAAGAGGTCTGTCAGTGTGTGTGCTCCAAACAAGTCTTTTCCCACCTTTCTTTATTCTACACAATTAGCATATTCTTCTATACCTTTCACCCATGTGACCTACTTTGCTCTTTATTGCATCCAACCTATCTGCAACTACTCGTGTTAGCAGATTCTACTTTCTAACCATCAGTTTTAATTTACTCACCCTTGCCCCATTCATATTATCACATGATTACCAATTGACACCACCTATGCTTACCCAGCTAAGCAACCTATCAAGTCACCTCTCAACCACTTATTTGAGCAAAGCGCTGTTATACTTAGTTCAGCCATGATCCTTATAAATCTTTATGTAATATCTATTTATTTCACTACATAACAGATATCAGAAATGACTAAAGCACAAAATCTGATTAAGCTAACATTCTACAACATGAACACAACTTCCCTGCTTTTCAATTCTATTCATGTTCAAAATAATCTCGTGCTTATCTTACATATAATTTGGTCTTAACCTGCATTGAATGATATCTGTAACTAACTCAAGTCCTTTCCACCTATTTAGACTTACATCTCTCCTTCCTACAAAAAAATGCACCCATGTCACACATTGATATTGTAATAAATTTGCCATTTACACAACTATTTTACAATTTTATTAACATCTTTCATTTTGTCAGTATTTCTCCATACTATTTGTGCCTCCTGATTTGGTCAAATTTGTTATTTGTAATATTGTTCTAACAGTGTATTTTTGATTCTGAAATCAAAATCATTTATATAAACAGTGTAAAAGCTACAAGCACAATCTGATATATTATGCTAGTTACATGCACTAGTGTTAACAGGTCTTCTCCCAAGTTCTCAAAAATCCGGTGCATATGCGATGGTATTGTGCCAGTAAGAGAGCTGTGTTGCCACGGTGCTGCTGAAATATCTGCTTCAAGCATGCAGTTGGTAAACAGCTTTTGAGTTCTCAGTGTTCCGTTTTTGAGAGACAAAAGAATCATGACTGGGTGGGATAAGGGCCCAACAGACCCAGGGAGGCTTTTAGTTTTGTTATCAGTTAGTTGAGAAGGTTTTCTGCTGGCTGCTGAGCTAACAGCTTAAGTTCCCGGCTGGTAAAGTGAAGTCTCAGACAGCAAGGCTTCTTAAAAAAAAAAAAAAAATCACAAGGGGCAGACTGTTTCTTTCTTCTGGACTGAAGACAGGCACCATGAGAGTACATCAGGAGGCAACGGTCTAGTGCTATTATTGCTGGACTGTTAATCCAGAGGCCCAGAAAACGTTCTGGGGACCCGGGTTCGAACGCCATCACGGCGGATGGTGGGATGTGAACTGAATTAAGAACCTAATGATGGCCACAAACCCATTGTTGATTGTCAGAAAAACCCATCTGGGGTTCATCAATGTCCTTTAGGGGAGGAAACTGCCATCCTTGCCTGGTCTGGCCTACATGTGACTCCAGACCCGCAATGTGGTTGAATCTTAACTGCCCTCTGGGCAATTAGGGATGGGCAATAAGTGCTGCCTGGTCAGCGATGCCCTCATCCCGTGAATGAATAAAAAACTGTTTTGCTGAATTGCATTTTTGCCAAGGATGTGTTTATGGGATACTACCTATACCAGAACAGTTGATGATTAGTGGTTAAATAATCCGTAAGTATTTCAATAAAGTTAGTTATGCCAACTTTTTATTATTACAACACACTTAAAATACAAAAGTGTGTTTTGATTAAAGCCTAGTGGTGGACCAATCAAATTGCATCGAAAACACAGCACCTTACACTTGCCTTTAAATAAATATGAAGGTTAGGGTCTAGGCTATCTTCTTATAATACTTTAGAGGGGGATCTGGTCTAGTCCATAACAAATTGGGGACTCTGGTCCAGGATCAGAATCTCTACTGTACCACAACAATTTGCCAATGAAGTGCATTTATATAGTATCCTAAACATACGGCATCTCAAGGTACTTCACAAGAATGATAAATAAGGAGATACTAGGGCAGTTGAACAAGAGCCTAGCCAAAGATATGGGTTTTAAGCAGCACTGCAAATGAAAAAGAGGTAGGGAAGTGGCGAGGTTTTAGGGAGAAATTTCCAGCGCTTAGGGGCAGTGTTTTGACTTATTTCAATGTTCAACAAATTTAAATTTATGTAGTACCCCAACAAGGAACAATTTATGAGCAGCCTGCATGTACCTTTCAGATTACTTTGCGAGAATGCAAGCACATAGTTCAGTGAGAAACACAGACGACATTTCAAAATCTTTAGATCATCCAACCTCTGCTGCCTGCTTCTTAACTCATGCCCAGTCCCAATCAATCACTCACCATGCATGATATGGGCTTCCAGTTACACAACACCTCAACTTTAATTCTTCCCAAGTATTCAAATTGCTCACTGCCTCACCTTCACCCTTACTACCCCTCACCATCTCTAATCTCCTCCAACCTCAAGCTTGGATCTTGCAGTCCAGTGGTAGTCTTCCTACCTCCAAACCAGGAGACCTGGATTCAAGTCTCACTTGCTTCAGAGATGAGTAACAGCATGTCTGAAACAAGTTGATTGAAAATATTTATAATCATGCTCCTCCTATTTCTCACCAAGATGTTCGCTAATTTTAATTACTTTGTATCATTGATGTTCATGCCTTTGGCTGTCAATTTCCTTTTTATTTTTCTTTTGTCAATTAAGGCACTCCTTAAGACCTACATATTTGGACAAATGTTGGAGTATCCCTCCTAATATCTCCTTATTTGGCCTGGTATCAGATTTGGCTTAAAGACAGCATGAAAGCCCCAAAACATTTTAATACACTAAAGATACCACATAAATGCAAATGTTTGTTGCAGATTGCTGAAGATACAGCTACCAATGAAAAGGTAAAAGAAAACAGGGGATACAACAGCAAGGATTGAGAAGAATTCTCCAAGGGCTAGAGTAGGCATAGAAATAAGGAGTAACGATGCCTTTTAGGAACACAAGAACTTTCAAAAGCACGATGATGAGCATTCAGAGGTATTATGTTCCTATTAGAGTGAAGGGTATGGCTTGATAAGATTAAAGAACAATGGATAAATAAAGATATTGAGGTTCTAGTCAAGAATAAAAGACAATCTTATTTTGAGATATATAAAACTTGGTTCAATTAAATCTCCTAATCAATATAGAGTGTAGGGGCATTCTTAAGAAAGAAATCAGGAAGGCAAATTGGGGATATGAGATAGCATTGGTAGATAAGGTTAAGGATAATGCAAAGAGATTCTACAAATACATTAAGAGCAAGAGGGTAACTAGAGAGAAGGTATGGCCTCTTAAAGATCCAGGAGGTTGCCTTGGTGTTGAACCCCAGGAGATGGAAGAAATACTAACAAATATTTCATGTCGGTTTTTACTGTGGAGAAAGAGAGTCTAGATAATGCACAGAAATAAATTGATATTTTAGAAACAATTCACATTACAGAAGTAATAGGTCAGGACATCTTAGAGAATATAAAAGGTGGATGAACCTGTAGGACCTAATCTAATGTATCCCAGAGCGTTGAGGGAAGTAAGAGGAGGAAATTGAAAGACCCCTTGCAGAAATATTTGCTTCATCTACAACTACAGGTGAGGTGCCTGATGACTGGAGGGTGGTTAATGTTGTACCTTTGTTTAAGAAAGTTTGTAAGAAGAAACTGGGGAACTACAGACCTAAGTGCGATATTGGTTGTGGGTAAATTGTTGGAGGTGATTGTAAAAGATAGGATTCATGGACATTGAGAGGGGCAAAAATTGATTAGGGATAGTCATCATGGTTTTCTGCAAGGAAAGCGGTGTAACAAATTTGGTTGAGTTTTGTGAGGAAGTTACCAAAAATATTGATGAGGGCAGAGCGGTAGACGTTGTTATTTGGACTTTAGTAAAGCCTTCGACAAGGTTCCGCATTGTAGACTAATCAGTAAAATGAGGTCATGCAGGACCCAAGAGTGAGCTTGCCAATTGGATACAGAACTGGCATAACGGCTGGAGACAGAGTGGTGGAGGAAGGCTGCTTTTCGGACTGGAAGCCTGTCACCAGCGGTGTTCCCGGTTCTGGGTCTGCTTTTGTTTGTCATTTATATAAATGATTTGGATGAGAATATAGAAGGCATGATTAGTAAGCTTGCAGATGACACCAAAATTGGTGGCAGAGTAGACAGTGAAGGCGGTTTTCTAAGATTACAAAGGGATCTTAATCAAATTGGTCAACGGGCTGAAAAATGGCAGATAGAGTTCAACCTGGATAAATGCAAATAAGGGTGGGGCTTATACAATTCATGGTAGGATCTTGGGTAGTGTGGTAGAACACAAGGACCTAGGGATGCAGGTGCATAATTCTTTGAAGGTTGGGTCACATATAGACAGGGTAGTTAAAAATGAATTTGGCATATTTGCCTTCATTGCTCAGTCATTTGAGTATAGGAGTTGGGTAGTCACGCTGAAGTTGTACAGGACACTGGCGAATCTTCTTCTGGAATACTATGTCCAGTTCTGGTCGCCCAGTTATATTATTAAGCTGGAGAGTTATCAGAAGAGATTTACCAAGATGTCGCCGGGTATGGAAGGTTTAAGTTATAAAGAAAAGCAGGACAGACTGGGACTTTTTCTCCCACTGGAACGTAGGAGATGAAGAGGCAACCTGATAGAAGCTAAAAAGAAAAATGAGGGGCATAGATCGAGTTAATGATAGTTGTCTTTTCCGTAGCTTGGGGGATTTCAAGATTAGTGGGTACATTTTTAAAGGTGAAGAGAACGGGTTAAAGACAGGAGAGGCAATTTTTTTTTTTAAAAACAAAAAAAAAAAAAAAAAAAAAAAAAAAAAGAGGGGCTCGCGTGTGGAATGAACTTCCTGAAGAAATGGTGGATGTGGGTACAATTACAACGTTGAAAAGACATTTGGATAAGTACAAGTACATGAATAGGAAAGGTTTGGAGGGATATGGGCCAGGAGCAGGCAGGTGGGTCTATTTTACTTTGGGGTTAAGGTTGGCATGGGCTGGTTGGACTGAAGGGTCTGTTTCCATGCTGTATGACTCTGACCCCAAGTCCTTTCAGAAGTTTGAGGCACGGGAGGCACGGTGGCTCAGGTGGTTAGCACTGCTGCCTCACAGCGCCAGGGATCCGGGTGCGATTGGTCCGGTTCCTCCCACAGTCCAAAAAATGTGCAGGCTAGGTGGATTGGTCATGCTAAATTGCCCATAGCGTTCAGGGATGTGTAGAATAGGTGGGTTGCAGGGGGATGGGTCTGGGTGGGATGCTCGGAGGGTCGGTGTGGACTTGTTGGGCCGAAGGGCCCATTTCCACACTGTGGGCATTCTATGTTGGACTCTAAGCTAATGTTGATGAGCAATCTCAGAGGTACAAGGTGAAATGGAACCTGGCGTAGTGAAAGCTTTGGATGAGATGTAGTTTAAGAAGAGTGGAAAATGAGACAAGTTTCATGTAATAACTTTGAGAAGGAGTTTGTCTTAGAAGGGTAGGGTGGAGGGTGGGGGAGAAGCCACTTTCATAACTGCCTGTTTCAAATTTGCTAGCCCTGTTTATGAAACTTGCACATCTTCACACTCACCAAGCAACATTACACTAGAGACTAATTATTATGTTTTAAAACAGGAAACTGTAGAATAAGAAGAAAGTCAAGCTGAAGTATTCTTTCAAGTTTAGAACTGATTACATTTGTTTCACGTTCAGCAGAAAAAGTCAGATTTGTTTTATGCACTGACTCAAAATATACTGGATTCTATCAATAGTTCAAGAAGAAAACTCCAATTTTAGTAACAGCCTGTTTAGAATAGTCAATTAGTGACTAGTTGTTGAAAAATAAAGGTGATGACAGATGAGTTGAACAGGTATTTTGCATTAGCCTTCATTATAGAGATTACAAGTAACATCTCAGAAATATCCATAAATCAAGGAATGGGAGAGGGAGGAACTCAGGAAAATTGCAAACACTAGAAAATGGTACTAAACTAATTGCTACAGATCGACAAGTTCTAAGATCCTAAAAATTCAACATAGCATTCTAAAAGTGGCTAGTGAGAGTAACATAGTAGCATGGATAGAAATCTGACTAACCAACAAGAAATGAGATAGCATAAAGATGTTTTTCTGGTGAGCAAGATTGAAGAGTGCTGTGCCACAGGAATCAATGCCGGGGCCACAACTATTGGAACAATATTTGGAACAAGAGATGTAAAGTAGGATTTGCTAAATTTTCTGATGACAAATATACAAGTAGGAAAGCAAGTTGTGAGGAGGGCATAAGGAGGCTATGATGGGAATAATTTATGGTTTTTGTTTTTTTTTGGCTATGACTGTTTAAAGCATGAATATTAGTTGGTAGCACTACACAAATTCAGGAAAAACACTTCAACCAATTAAGTGCTTTAAAACAAGTAAAAGGTTACTTATGTGAACAAGATAATAAAGAAGAAAGCCTAACTCCTGTAAGTTTCTCTTGTTACAAATTTGGTTTACCTGTATTATCAGGCATGGAGGCTTGGTCTGTGTTGCGTTCCTTCTTGAAAACTATGTTGCCAAATTGAAGTACTGCAGAAACAACCTTCAGCATGGCTGGAAAGAAAAGCAAAAATTCAATGCATAACTTAATCAACATTTGTACTAATGAGAAATGGGTCAGTATACTTTGAGTTAATACATCAACACCTTACTGACAAAAACTTTGCAGAGTGTGTAAATCTAATAACTTAAATGTCTCCACCTCACGTTGGAAAAACAGCAGCATTGGGGGAAAACACAGCAGGTTGCATATCTTCTCATTCTGGGAATGTCGGGAGGGGATACACAAAAAAAGACTAAATGATAAAAAGATGTAATAAACAAAATAATTTATTTTTCTTTGCTAATGGGTACAGTCACCAAAGATGATAATCAACGTGATTATCCAAAGGAACAGCTGCAAGATCATAGATGAAGCACAACAGACAAGACTAAAATTTAAGTGGAATGTGGATCTGCGCATTACATTGTCAAGAGTCAACAGTAACAGGTGTAGAGTTGATTGGCCTAGCTGAACTTTCAATAAGCTAGAATGAGAAAATTAAATAAAATGCAGGTGTCTATGGTCAGAGATATGCTGAGAGTGGTAATACTGAAGTTGTACATAACGGTAGAATGTTCGCTTTTGGACCCCTTATTCCAGGAGAAATTTGAATAGTCACCGGACCCGAAACGTTAACTCTGTTGTTTCCTTCACAGATGCTGCCAGACCTGTTGAGCTTCTCCAGCAACTTTGTTTTTGTTCCTCTCCTAAGCTAACTGTTATCCACTCCTTTGCCTGTTCAACTGTTCTTTTCTCTTTGGGCTCTATTTCCACCTATTGTCTACTCCTTAGCCCCTCCCACCAACCTATCTTCTGCTTAAAAACCAACCTTTTCCTAGCCATCAGTTTTGAAGAGGGGTCCACTGGACCCAAATGTTAACTCAGATTTCTCTCCAAGGATGCTGCCAGACCAGCAATTTCTGTTTTTGTTTGATTTCTAGCATCTGCAGTTCTTCCAGTTTTTATTGAGAAGTGAAAAAGTCTGGAGGTAACTATATGATCCAATTGTTTTCCCTTGTCAAAAACAATACAGAACTATGAAGAAATGACTATTAGATTTATTAATTGACAAAGAATATTTCCAATGAAAGATAAACTCCTATTTACCCTCTGAAAGGCATAACACCTCAACTACAGCATCTAGGGACAGACAGTATGTATCGGCCTTGCTTTGCTGCTCACTTCCTGAAAATCTGATTTAGAAACAACTGCACTTCTATACAACAATGAAATTTTTTTTTTAAAACCACAGCCAAACAAATGCTTAAAGTCTTACTGTATACATCTGTAGGTATAACCACTTCAACAATGGAACAAATTTCTTTGCTTTGTAAACACTATTGCTCAATTTGGTTTCTCTCTGCCCCTCCCCTATCTATCTTAGGGTTTTCTTTCTATAGATGATGTTTTGGAAGGTATAGGAAAGTAAAAATTAAAAATCTGAAGTGGAGTAAAGAATCTATGCTAACATCAGTAATATTTAAATTCAACATATGCCCAGCAGAAACCCTGAACTGTTTGACAGAAATCTAATTTTTTTCCCCAATATTCTTTAATAGCTTTTACTGGCTAGGCTTTTGAATTATCAGAACTGGAGCCATTTCCTTCTAAGTAAAATAATCAAAGGAGCTTTTTAAAATTATTTATCACAGAAACCTCTGTGAAAGAGATGCAAACCATAGCTCAACTAATCCTTTTGATGTGAACTGAATTGCACGCATTCAGAACTAAGTTCAACACTAGTAAGTTAAGAAACTGGGGAGAAGGATACATAATTCTTTAAATGGATTAAAAGGACCCTCTCAATTTCAGTACGAATATCAAGTACAACGTATACATGCATTACTCCACAATTAATTACTATTCAGCAAAGCATACCAATTAGTTCATCATCCGAAATTCCCATGATTCGGAATGCCTCCATCGTTTCCTGAAACAAATCCTTGTCTTGTTGTCCAGGAATGGTGATGTGGCCATTAGAGAGAAATCTGTATTTGTTGTAACCCTCTAGCAACAGATCAGCTGCAATCAGGAGATTTCATACATTAGTATTAGAAGGAAAAGAGGAACTTGCATACATATAGAATCTTTTGACTTCAGGATATCCAATAATGTTTTACAGTCAATGAAGTACTGTAGTCAGTACTCCGACATAGTGAAATCATCCTTATGAAGGCTAAAAACCTTTAGGGACTCAAAACAAACTGGTCAACTTTGCAAACACCAAATTAACCAACTATAATAATTTAAGATAGCAAATCAACAATTTCAAATTATTAAAGAAAAAATACGTAAGACGATGAATTAAATTTAATGCAGGCAGGAAAAGCACAGCAGGTCAGACAGCATCCAAGGAGCAGGAAAGTCAACATTTCGGGCCAAAACGTTGACCTTCCTGCTCTGCTGATGCTATCTGACCCGCTGTGCTTTTCCAGCTCCACACTTATTGACTCTAGCTTCCAGCATCAGCAGTCCTTACTGTCTCCAAGTTCATGCAGGCAGGATTCTTTTAAACAGATGTGAAGCGTGGGTCAAGGACTTGAGAATGACAGATGCTAAACTCATACAAAAAAAGATTAAAGGATAAACTTAGCAACTACAGTCAGTTCAACTATAGTGGCAGGAATACTTTCAGAAATATCACTGATAAAGAAGCAACTGAAGGCACTGCTCTGTACAAAGGCCCTGACAATTTGCCAGCAAAGCAGTGAAAATCTGTGCTCCAGAACTAGGCACAATCCCAGACAAACTGCTTCAGATAGATTCATACAGGAATCTATCTAGCAAAGCAGAAAAATGTCCAGCTGTATCTTGTCTACAAAAAGCAGCACATATCCAACATTGGTCGAACACCACCCTATCAATCTACTCTTGGTCAAAGTGATGGAAGGGTTCAAGTGCTATAAAGATACACTTAGTCAACATTTTTTTTTAAACTGACGCTCAATTTGGGTTCTGCCAGCAGCGTTCCCTTTAATTTTTTCTACAGGCAGCACGGGCCTGCAAGGCCTGTGTGCAGCAGAGATTTCCAGAACAAAAAATTGTGCTATGATCGGTACACTGACATGTATCACCGTATATAGAACATCAGAGCAGCTGCTGCACATGAAAGTTACAGGGCTCAACAACTGTTTGCAAACCAGGGCTACAACCACCACCTGCAAATTTCCATTCTGATTTGGAACTATCATTCCTTCACTGTTGCCAGATCAAAATCCTGGAATTCCCTTCCTAACAGCACTGTAGGTGTATCTGCTTCCATAAACAGCTGTCCAAGAAGTTGGTTCACCACCACTTTCCTGGGTTAGGGACTGGCAATAAATGCTGGCCAAGCTAGAGAGACACCCGGCCAGTGAGCAAATAAAAGTGGTTATTCAGGACATCATTAACATTTGCTTGGACAAATGTGAATTAATTATGGAAAGCCAGCACAGATTTGCTGAAGCCAAACCGTGTATTTGATGAGGGAATGGACCACTAATGGCGGTAATGCTGTTGATGTGGAGTATATGGACTTTCAAATCATATTTGAAAAACTGACAAATAATAGGCTCAATGAAAATTTGAGGGCCGTGCAATAAAAGGAGTGGCCTCAGGACATAAAGTTGGTTAGCTGATAGGATCTATAGTGGTGAACAAGTATTTATTGGTCTGGATGATGATACGTAGTGGGATTCCATATGGGTCAGCATTAAGGACCCTACATTTTCTTAACTACATTAGCTATACAAATTTGGGTACACAGATGAGTTTCAAAATCTGCTGACAAAAAAAAACTTGTGAACGACGAAGAGGACACTAGCACGTTGATGGTATGGGTGGACAGTTGGCAGACGAGATCTAATGCAGAGATGTGTAAAGTGATGCGTTTTGGAAGGGAGAGAAAAAAAGAGAGGCAATACATAAAAGATATAACTCCAAAGGGAGGGTGGGTGTACGGGGACCAAGCAGTTAAGATGTACAGTATCATGGGCTTTATAAATAGAGAGAGAGTGTAAAAGCAGGGAGATATCCCAGAATCTTTATAAAATAATGGTTTGGCCTCAACTGGAGTATCGTGAGCAATTCTGGGCATTATACTTTAGAAAGGGTATAATGGCATGGGAGAGGATGTAGAAAAGATTGCCTAGAATGGCTAAAGGACCTCAGTTACAAGAATAAAATCGGAGAAGACTAGGTTAGGAGAATTGATGAGAAAAGTAGAAAGATCTGGGTCAGTAAAAAGCAGACCTTGCCTCTGTTGATGCAAGGGCTGAAAACCAGCGGGCGCTGATTTAAGCTGAAAGGCAAAGGACTCAACTGCAGTGAGAAGATTCTTTTTATCTAATGAGTGGTTAGGATCCAGAATGCACTACCTGCGAATTTGTGTGATATTACCATCAATCATGGTCTTCAAAAGTGAATTGGATAATTATCTGGATAGAAAAGATTTATAACATTAGAGAAAAACATGGCTGATCTGTTCTCGCAGATAGCTGGCACATACAAGAAATGTCAATGGACCTCCTCTTTTACTGCAACCATTCTATAGCTCTACACAAACTGCATACTGCAGTGGTGGGAGATTGCAACATCACATGTAAAGGAAATGCCAAGGGGTGATCTTGAGCATACAGCTATAGAAAACAATACTGAAGGAAATCGGTTTGGGCTCGCGAAAGGTTGTTTGTGGTATCTGGCATCTGGAAATACTTAATCAGAAATGATAAAACCATGAAATCAATTTTAGATAAAGATAATAAACATAAAAGCCATGAAATCTAGAAATGTTTTGGCCTTCTGATGCAAGCACTTCCAAATGATTTAGGCACTGTATTCCCATCTGTTGGATATTATTCATTATGCACGCTTACTCTTCAAGTGTTCTCCAGCACCAGAAAGTAGGTAGTAAAAAATATGGAAGGTGCGTTCATCTTTGGCTTGGCGTATGGCACGAGATTTTTCCAACAGATCTGGAAGACGGTGGTTAAAGAGACTTCACTGCAAAAAAAGAGTACTAATGATGTGAACAGCAATATCAGATTACAACTGCTCACAGGATGGATAAAAGCTAGTATAAGCAAGAGTTAATTACTTGCTGTATCCTTTCCAGGTAATCAAGGTTTAAAATAAGGTAAGCAATTTGTTCTCCAAAACCTGCAGAAATATAATGTAGACTGAGGAATTAAAAAAGAAATGAGTGTCACTCGGCCACATCACAGTTACATATAATGTAAATATATAGTTAATTCTAAAGGCTGATTGAACCAATTTTCTTTATCATTATTTCCTATTTCAAGACTCGGAGGAAAGTATTTTAGTTTATTTCAAAGACTTCAAACTATTTTGTATTTATCACTTTCAGTCCACAAGTGCCTGTTTCACATAATACAACAAGTAATGAAGCTTGGAACAAAAAAAAAATGCTTCTTTCATGAACTTCATAGACCTGTTCCATGAATTGACCTCACCCTTATTCTATTCTTCAATTTTGCCGAATTAAAATCTTCTGAAACTACTTAACTCTTCCTGGAGCAATTAACCAACATTCTCCTTTTGTCACGGCAATTAGTGCAATCCCAATTAATTTCCTTCTTTTGTGTTTCAATTTCCATTCCAGTTAACTCAGTTAGACCTTCCACCACCTAAATCTTTCTCCATTACTAGTAAATATTAGTCTTCCTCAAACTCTCCTTACAATTTCTCTAAAAGTTAATGTTAAATTCTTACCAATTCCTGATCTACTTTTCACACAAAGTGTGAATGTGTGTTTTCCACACATAGTAAGTTATAATAGGGCAAACTAATTTAACTTTGAAAAGATGCTTCACCATTAACCTTGTTTTTCCTAAATCTTTGAGATACCTAGTAGCCAGCTCAAAAATGCTCTGAAGAACAGGAGATTCTGTATCAACATTTCAAAATGTCAGCTCTTTCTATAATTGATCAGGGACAGAATAAAACTTCAAATCCTAGTCAAGACAGCCATGTCGAACTTCACAACTGTTTCACTGAATTTCACCCACTGTTAAAAATATATAGGACAATGTATCAATATTGTTCACACTTGACTTCAAGTAAACCTACTGAGGCAAGCTTATGATGTGAAGAATCCCTTTGTGGCTTTTAATGGCTGTAAAGGATACAAGTTTCTATATTGGCTCCGACAATGTACCCATTCACATCAAAGTTAATTCGAATAAATTTACCCTGTATATTAAAAACAGAGGTACAAGTTAAATGCTTGGAAGATCAAAAGAAAATAGACACATCAATAAGATTTCTTTTGCTCCAACCTTCAAGATTTAAATGAGGAAACGTGCCTGTTTCGACTCAATTTTCACTGACGCATTTTCTTAAAACACATTTGTAGAAAAATATACTTTGGGACCCAAAGAGGTAGTACAATGCAACCGGTCATAAAAATCAGTCATTAGACAGTTGCATTGTGCTAATATCAGAGAATAGTAGCCCAAAATCCCAGGCTAATGCTCTGGGGAGATCAGCTCTAATCCAAATATGGCAGCTGGAATTTAAATTTAATTAACAATCTGGTATAGAAAGCTAGTTTCAGAACTACGAAATACATCAATAGAAATTCATTTGGCTCACTAAAATCCTCCGGAAAAGGAAATCAGATATACTTAGCTGGTTAGGTCTACACATGGCTCCAGACACAGGTGGATGAATCCTAACTGTCCTCACAGTTCACGGGCAATTATGGATAGACAGCAAATCTGGCTTCTATTGACCATCAACATCCATATCCCAAGGAAGAATAATAAAAGGTCCATGGACATACTGTAGTTCACTAGTTATAAAAGACATTATAATTTTGTTTTAAACTCACAAATCTGGAAGAGTTGTCATTTTTCACAGTTTTTGCATTGCCAAAAGCTTCAAGGATAGGATTGGCTTGGAGCAGTTGCCTCTCAAGCTCTCCCTGTAATCATAACAGGACTGAGATTAGTTAATGGAAAATCTGCTTTGCAAATAAAACTTGTTAGAGAATTGTGAAGACTTCGAAGTACTGTTTACAGATCTGCAAAAGACTGATGCAAAATGAAAGACTTTAGAAGTAACAGTTGACTGCAATGAGGGTACAAATACACGTTTTTGGTCACCCTGAAATGGAATGCAAACAGATTTAACTAGTAAACAAGAGTATTTTCCCAGACAGACCATCTGGTAAAAGTTAAAATTTGTTATTCCTAAACAAAATCAACTGCAGGTTGTACAAGCATCATTTAATTTGAAAACAAGCCAATAATTCCAACCTGGCACTTCCAGTATTAGGAAAGAATACAGGGAGACACTGAAGACCAAATAAAGACATCTAGATGGTCACAAATGGACATTAGCAAATTTCCTGCTACAAGAAAACAAACATTCTTACAGAAGAGCTCCTCTCTCCCAACAAATTGTTCTGCCAAAGTCCAAGATAAAAACAGGATACTACTACTCTTGATCAGTGGGGCCTAAAAAGAGGTGAGGAATAGAACACTATATAATGACCAGAAATAATTTTGGAATAACAAAATTCTGCTTTGTATCATGAAGACTTGGTCTACATCAAAATAAAGTTGCATTGTTTAATGAGTTCAAATTTTAGTCCCTCATGACAAATCTATGCCATTACTTCTATCAAGATACTTGTAACATCAATGTCTAAAGAAATGTGTATTTACTTGAAAGACCTACAGGTCTTACACTCACTACCACCCCTTTGGTAACTCATGCACACATATGCCAGTTACAATTTTTAAGAAGTCACCACTGGAAACAATACACCCAACACAAGACTCCAATATCACATTCAGACACCACACATTCACTAAGGACACTATTTATTCTTCACGCACATCAAGTGCTATCCGGAACCAAATAACAAATCAACTGAGATTTTTGCAACTGGTCAAAATATT